ATTTTGGACAACCAACGTGCTGCGAAGAATTTTTAGGTCCTGCTCGTTACGCTAGGTCTTCCTTGCCATGGAAGGTTGCTTCTACAGTAGGTCCTCTGGCTGGAATCGATCTGGCCGCAACATTAGCCACTTCTGCTTTCTCGACGGGTCGATTCGACTGCAGTTCATTATTGCAGGCAAAGGTCGCATTCATTCGCCAGCACAGATACGGAACACGGTAACTCGATTGTGAAGAAGAAAACAGAAAAAAGAATGCAAACTGCCCCGCGCGAGGCAGCTTCAGTAGTTTTGACACCTGCACTTACGACCCTATCCCCTCGGCCTTCATGACCCCTTCGTCGCGATTTCGCGAAGCTTTAGCTCAGACTTATAGCCTCCCTTCCTCCCTCCAGTCACGTTTGCACACGTTAAGCATTTTGATCAGGAAAGTAACCACATTTGAGCACGTTATAACAACCAGAGTCTCGGTTTGACTTGAGGAGTGCATCCTCTACTAGCAAAGGGTCTGAAGTAAAAGCGCCAATGATTAAACCAATTAAAAACAAGTTTATGATACAAAATTGAATTTCCACTTATCCCCTTCGGCACAGGCATTTTCTTTGCCTTTCATTATAGTTGGCGCAGTAGCCACAGTGTGAATATGCATTAGACGTGGATTACGGTAGCAGCAGTGAGTACGCAAGTGCATAGCGTGATTGGTGGTATTTATAAGTAACATCGTGGGATGTGCCCACTCGTGCAGTTTCATCGCTGGTTGTTTTCTTAGTGATTCGATCACTAATTGGGTAGGAAACGGACGTGAACTCACTCCGCTCTTCCTGGCATCACCCAGGCTGACTGCGACGACATCTGCTACATTTACTCGCGCAAAAAGTATGTAAATCAATTAAATAAATAGGTCCAAAATTAATAACTATAACTCACTGTAAAGTACGGCACAACGGATAAAGAAGCACACCTGTTCTGTTGTGTTGCCATGAATAAAAAATTCAATAGAGAAAGCGCGAAACATCTCTTTTCCGAATGCTTCCACTTCTTGTACATTGAGATCTAAAATCCTTTTGACCATATCATAGGACTTCGTGCAAGGATCTAGGAATAGAAAAAAACGCTTTCTTTTGCAAACGGCAAGCAGCTGTTCAACGGTCCACTTAAAGTCTTGGAGTAACAGCTCGGCATAAGCTGGTAACAGCTTTTCGGGTTCCGAAAGCAAAAAATTCTTAAACTCTCGCTTCTCGTTGTCCAGTAGGTTGTCAAAGCGGAGAGGATCTGTAAATGAAATGTCACTCCAACAATACAATTGGCTTATTGTTAGACCTCTTGACTGATGAACTGTACTTCCTAAAATATTTCAGTGCAGTCGTCAGGCAATTAAAAAGAGTTAATCTGAAGTCACGAAGTGACTTACCCGGTTTGAAGTCAGTCATTCGCTTGATAACATGCTCAACCAGTTGCGGTTGTTTTTCGTCGTAACCACTCACCTGAATGGTGTATTTACAGCCATTTTCCCTGGGGATGTGCCTGAAGGAGCCTGGATGGGAGCGCGGCCGGGGTGCCTCATCGTTGGTTGAAAATGCCGATCTGGCCGAGCTCATCCTCCTCACATGCCCCCTCGTTTGCAAGAATGAAGACTATAAGCGTTGGCAAGGTTATTACGGCTCTTACATATACTTCTATCTCTCCTACATTTCCATACTTTCTGGAAGTTGTGAATACACTTCTAAGAACACCGAGAAGAACTAGTAGTAATATGAGCAACTACGAGTTTTTGCCGATCTGTCTCGCCAGGCAGCAAAGTGTTATGAAGTTTGTTCGCTGCTGATGATGGGTCTGATTGTGAGGGGAGGGGGCTGAGTATTTTGGGTACCAGCTGCCGGCCCCGCCCGCGCCCCCGCCGCCGCGGCGCCCCCCGGCCCGGCCGCGGCCGCCGCCGCCCCCCCCGGCCCGCCCCCGCGCCCCCCCGCGCGCCGCCGGGCCGCCCGGCCGCCGGCCGGCCGGGGCCGGCGCGCCCCCAGTCGCAGTCCTCAACCAACTGCAAAAGCGTATAGTACGCGTCTATACAGATGGTGTCTGGCCCCACGCCAAATCCATCTCACTCACATCCGCAGCGAAAAAGTATGTCGTATCCAAGATCAAGCTTGTATTTTGTATAGAAATTCGTAGGGTAAGATCAAATAAACGCCTTTTACTAAGGGGCCGTCGCCTAACGATTCTAGCTGACACAACGCGAACTTGGACGTCATCTCGATGTGACAAGGCACAAGGCCTAGAAACAATTAACAGCTTGGAAGGAGCGAAGACCAGGCTGTAGTGTACCGAAGGAGTACCCACCAGCTGCATTGCATGCGTTTCAGCTTGACTTTTTACAGTGGTGTGACAGTGGTCTTGTCACGTTGAAGGCAGGGTGCACGGGCAAACTTTTTCCGGTGTTAAGCGATTCGCTTAAGACCAAGAGACTGCTTTGTGTGGAAACTTATCGGGGTAAAGGCCTCCCCATCCAATAGTTTCGCAAACCACGGCTCCCTCCCACTGAGTTCGCTATGGCTATCGAGAACACAGCTATTCTTTAGACTATGACCTGGAAGATGCTCAGTAACAAGACGTAATCCTTTTAACACAGTTCCTTCATTTTGGCCTTAGCAGCTCTCATCGGCGAGCCAGAGTAGTCCATGAAATAGTGTGAGGACGCAGGTGCTGACAATCCTGTTCAGTTGATTGTTCACGTTACCGGTCACGTTTTTCTGACTAAGGGGCCAGTGTTTCAAGTTCAAATCACTCACTTCCAGCAGCAGCCCAAAATCATATGAGCTTATATCGCAGTAGACTCCTGCCAGCATCGCATTATAAATAACTTCCGTCAAAGCATCCTGAAAGGGTAAAGCATATGCCAAGAATCCTACCGTATATAATTTGCTGAGTCCGTTGGTGTGTGTGTGGTTTGGTGTGTGTGGTGCGTGTGTGTGGTGTAGTGTGTTGGTGTTTGTATGTGGTGGTAGGTGATGGTGGTGTGTAGTGTGTGTGCGATGATTTTATGGTGTGTCCGTGTGTGTGGTGTGTGTGTAGCGTGTGTGGTGTGGTGCGTGTGGTGGTGTGTTTGTGGTGTTTGATGTGTGGCGTAGTGTGTGGTGTTTGTGTGCGTGTGGTGTGTGTGTAGCGTGTGTGGTGTGGTGCGTGTGGTGGTGTGTTTGTGGTGTTTGATGTGTGGCGTAGTGTGTGGTGTTTGTGTGCGTGTGGTGTGTGTGTAGCGTGTGTGGTGTGGTGCGT